TGTTTATCCCGTTTTTATCCTTAATACCAAGTATATTACTTTTATATATCCTCGTCTCTTGTATGCGTGTGTATGAGTGTGGAAAATAACTCCTCGTGAAGCACGGATGCAGTTGCATGGGTCGAGTGAAATACTACCAATATTATCAAGTTGTGAAAACTAGGTCAAACTACTTCTATACGGCAAGAGGAGACTGCGATCACATAAAAGCCTACACCATCTTGGTCTTCATACCTTCGATTTACCAAATTACTTTACACATAATCAAATAGCTTTAATAAATGGTATATATTCAGCCTTTAGGGAACATTTGAGCTAGTTAATTTTTTTTACTATCTTGCTTGAGTATGGTTGTAACTATGACTACATTCTCGAATTATGTCCGTTATTCAAGAGATGAAAGATTAGCACTTTTTCACCGAAATCGAAGAAGAGTGCTTTGAAAATAGCCTTAAACAGAATTTTTTTAGTAAAACCAATCGATAGATTGTTAAGAGGAATTCTCTGTGGTCTTCTGTTGGGATCGGCTTTCGAATCATTTCACTAAACATTTAAAGTCGAAATCGAAGTGATAACAATTATAATTTGGGGTACTTTCTTTTCTTACTCAACCTCTAATGTCGTTCTAATGTCGTTTTACTTCTGCTCCGATATTAATTATTCATATCTCAAACTACTAATTGACTTTAGTCAACGACAAGCATAGAACATCGCTTAGATTGGTCTGTAATCAGTAAGCTAATAAATGTCTTATTTTAGTTCGCATGCTTGTTCGAACATATACCATTTTTAATTTATACCTGCACACATGTTATCTCTCACATATACAGGCTCTGGCGACGGAAAGATCAGCTCTCATAGCCAATGTTACCTGCCTCCAGCCTGGGCCACATCAACTACAGGCTGAATTAAACTTATCGCCTAATGACTCCATTAACTTAACAGAATCTCACTGGCTAAACATCAGCCGCCATAGCAGTCAGGATCAGAAACAACAACCAGTTTTTAATGAAGATACTTCCTCTGATGTTATTCCGATCATTCATGCGGATTCTGGTACACCTCTTTCCACTGATCTTTTAGTCCAAAATGATGTTTGCAATCGCCGTGATCCAGGCAACGAGATTGATCTATTCCGATCCAAGGTTATATTCAATTTTTTTCAATATATTACTACTTTAAGTAACTTGTTCTAGACTTGAAATTAATTCTTCAATTACTTTTGAAATATTTTGCATGATCAAAAATTCCTCTACTTGATTTTTATCTTATAGCTCTTATTGCAGTACACTACCCTTAGTTGTAAAGTTAATTGCTTTTACACGTAAAATTACACTAATATATCTTATCATAGGGAATGAGGCAACCAGTTTGCCTGAATTTTCATGGTATTTCTGATAAGTTGGATTGTAAAACCTCGGGAAACATTTTACTGGATTTTTCTCTTGATGTTCTTATTATAGGTACGATTTTGGCTGTTAACTAATAATTTTTTAATGAAATTTCGTATATAAATAAGAACCACTATAAATGATTCAAGGTTGTCTAAGCTGAATTTCCTATATCACAGCGACCCTACGATTCCTATGAATTTTACAGTACTGCATTCCAAGATGCTTTCTTATCATAAATTAACTAGTGTTTTGACTCCACCTAGGACCCATCATTTCTCGCATATCTGAATGTGTAGTTGAATGAGAATTATAACGTAAGGCTGCTAAATTTTGAATACTGTTATTAAACAGATGAGACCTTAGTGCGGTCGGAACTGCGGTCCGACCTGAATGAAAAATCTTCTTTTACAGCTTTACAAAGTCTCCGAAAAATCCATTTATCATTCTCAATTATCTTGAGGGTCTTAGGAGATTAATTTTATTATTCAGGATCCTCTGATATTTTATAAACACGCTTTTTCATTATTTACAAATTTGTTTTTATTTGCCCTTGAATCTTTATTCTTTTATCCTTTAATATTGTGATCATGTTATCCTGCGATGCAAATCATTTCTATTGTTCATGGTCGATATTCTACTATTCTCTCCTCTCATGTGGTGATTTCTTGTCCTCTTCTCGCGGAGAGATCCTTCGATATTGATTTTATAAGTTATCAAATAGCCTATCAAATCCCTATTTGATTTTAACAGGCTATTCAACTATATTAAGTCTTTACTTCTCGTAATAGTTTGCACTTTTGCTATTTTACCCGAAACGTTCATTCTTAATCTCATTTATTATTATATATTTCGATTAGATAGATGTTTTCCATCTAAGGATTTATTTAATTTTTGACGTCTATCTATCCATATGATTGCAACTTACGAGTTTTAGACTTAATTGCCTTCTCACATATATTCTACTTAGTTCGGACGATCCATTATCACATACAATCTCATGCTTCCTCTTGGGGAACTAGTTGAAGAGGGAAGCCACATAAACATGCTTTAAGAACCTTCTCAAGCTTTTAGCCCACAGATAAATTTGATCATTTTACTGAATTCATATTTTATTATATTTGTCTGCATTGTTGAATTCTCGAAACCCTACTCACTCACGAAAAATATGTTGAACACTCACTTTCCAAGTAAGGTAGTTCCAGAAAATGGGACAATCACGAAAGTTACAACTACACTTCTCCGCCGAACAAGATTTACTTTTTTCACCTAACTTTAATCTTATCCATGATCTTACTTTCGGAGAGCTCAGATGGACTAAGAAGTTGGATGGATTTTAAAGGCTCCATTTATAATTTAATACAGCTCAAATTTTAATTTAAATTAATAGTTTAGAAATTCGTGAATTTGTCTTACTGATAGCTGAAGGAGGAGTGTTTTAGAACAAAGATTGTTTAAAAGGAGATGACATATTAGAAAATTATCATCTCTTATACCTAGTTTTGCAAACTGATCACTTGCTTTTGTTGGCTATTTAATGCTCTCACGATAAGAGTAGGTTTTAAGACCAGTATTTCTTAAATAATAGATTAGTCGTTTAAACGTAAATATGGAGGCCAAGGTGTTGTTGCATAGAAGTGGTCTGACCTCGTTTTCGCAACTCCATCGTGTTGTCATGGCGACGTAGTTGGACGCAACTTGTCCAAAGTTATTTACTATATTAGTTTTCATAATTCTCAGCGATGCGACGTGGACTTGATACATTTCCAGACGTTTCGCCAGCATCTTCAGTCAGTCTTGCCACTGAGCACCAAGCTACAGCTCGTCAGATAGACAAGTGAAATAAATCCCTTGACTTTATGTCGAACGTTTGTGCCATCTCTCTTGTTCTAGCACATCTACCTCTCCCTATCTTCTTATCTCACTCCCGCCATATCACAACTTCTGACTCATTTACATTCTACCCCTCTTGAGATGTACCTTTTTTTTGGCGAGTATAGTGTGGTGTAATCATACCTGCTTTTTACATTCACTCCATTTCCTCTCGGCTTGCCGACTTGACTTGGGTTTTCTATCTGGATTTCATTCGCGGGCTTGTTGATCCATTTCTTATCTTTCTAGCTGACTGGCATTACTCTGTTCCAGTCGAATTATACGATTTACCTTAGGCGCTATGTTGCAAGCCTTTAGAGGCACACACTCGTCTCATCGGTCAAAATGCTTAGGCTCTGATTCGTATGCTTACAGATATCAGACATTATCTCTTCTTGTCACATTTATTCAACCCGTGAAACCTGAGCAAACTTTGAAAGCCCATATCTGGTCTCCTGTTCCACCTCAAAAATATTTATAATAAATTAGCCATAATGGCACATTTTTGTGACGGTTTCGATTATCTCTCTCCACTATTCTTCAACCACCAGAATCCCAAAGTTATAGCTATTTTTGAGCAGACTAGACTCACAGACAACGTCTTCGCTTTATTCATCAATATTCATCACTCGCTTTTTTATTGTGATCCTTTTTTCTCCGATTACCGCTAGATCCCTGATATAAGCATCTCCTTTTTGCTGGTCTTGCTTTATCTTTCTTTTCTCATAGCTTTATTAAGCAATAAGGAAAATTATTGCTGACTCTGCCTTCTTTAAATATTCTGTTCATTAGATTTCTTTCAGTAAGGATGTCATAACCTACCGTTTCCTTGTGTTTTCACTGTATGGGATCCCTCTGTATTTACCTTACAATTGATAACGTGTCCATTCTGTGCAGTGTTCGCCTATTTTTGACTTCTTTCTGATCAATTTTCTCTTGATTGTCCCATTTGAGTGAATGACTTTAACATCCGGGTGAGATAAATGGCCCTCCTCTACTCACACTGTGAATTCAATTTTTTTATATAAATCTGGTTTATAAACTTCGAAATTTTTCTATTATTTATTTATGTGACTAAAGTGCAAAGTTGTCACCTCAGTATCTTGTCGTCCTAGGTACCTTAAGATTATTTTAGGACCAATAATTGCGTTTTTCTCATGATAGGATCAATAACCTTCACCAGGTTTTCGCTTTATTCTTCCTCAACCTGTTTTCAGATGTTTGGATTTGGTGCTTTAAATGATGTGTAAGTGGTCAAAATTACTAAACACAGTTTTTTTGTTTAATCGATGGTATGAAACCAATATGGCGTGGCCTTTTGTGTGGTCGCAGTCTATACAGTTTTACAGTGTTAATTCGAGCTTGTTTTCGCAACTTGGCCGGAGTATCACGAAGACATTATGGAATGTACCTAGTCCTGCGTCACGTGCCATATTATTCGTTATTTTCAGTATAGGATAATTGACTTGGTAGATTCCCAAACGGGTCGCCGGCATCTTCACTGATAGCTGCTATCGTAAACACAGAGTTACACTTTATACTATGATAAGTTGTTGACGATGGCACCTCTCACTAATGAGACCGGGGAAACGTTTGGAAATGTACCATGCCATTGATACGCTGGCGGAAATTACGGATATTATGGAAGAAGGCCTAGGGCTAGGTACGTTCCTCTCTCTGACGCTAAACAAGTTGCGAAAACAAGGTCGAATCAACGCTATACAGCTAAATGAGACCGCGACCAAGCACAAGGCCACATCAATTTGGTTTTCATATTCACGATCTAAACTAATATAAGTTCCACATAAATTCCAACTCGCAGTCTGATTTCATCTATTGATTTTAGAGTGTGCCAAAAATAGAAGCACAGTGATTTGAAAAAAATGAAGCAATATTTATTTTTTTGAGTCAGGTAGGCGGAGTAGAATGAGTTCTCTCTTGACAACAGTGAACTAGCTTTTGCAGAGTAAGGTTACTGGTTGGCTA